TATGAGGCAAGCCTTACATTAAGAACATGGGAATTATTAGAAATTAGAATTATTTTGTAATTGTATCTGACCTATACAGTAAGGTAGTGACACTTTGGGCTTTTTAACATCAAAATAATATATTTTCTTTAATTTCAATACTAAAACAAGCAGCAGATTGGWAAAGATTTGATGAATAACCCCTCATAAAGCGTAGCCTTGGAAGGAGTATTTTCACTTGTGTGTGCTTAGGCAGGGGTCATGAACACGCTATTTGGATGGGTGCGAGGGCAGGGCTGGGCCCGGTGGCTCCGGAGGGGTTTTCCAGCCCAAGGCCTGCGGCCTGTGTGCACAACGAGGCCTGCGGGCCGGGTTATATAGAGAAGATCCACCAAAGAACATGGAGAAGTTCTTTGAAATATTCTATGCTGGAACTGCCTTTTTAAAGACTTTATTAACAGTTCTTTATTTGAAAAAAAATGAGATATTAAAAGGCAGTGAGTAACCATGGGCGCAGGCTTCTGGATTCCGGAGGAGTCGAGGCCTGGATCAGCCTGTTCCTCACGCTGAGCAGGAGCGCAGGGACGTGGGGCAGGCTGGGGCGGAGGGAGCCAGGGTGCCAGGTGTGGGACGAGGCTGTGAAGCCTTYGAGGACTGTGTTTGAGAAGAGGACGCTGGGACAAGGTTGTGCCCCGCCACGGGACAAAGCCCACTCGGGAATCGTGTGGTGGGACGTGTTTGGATGCAGGAGAAACCCAGGATGCAGCCGGAGACGTGCAGGCGGTGAGGGACTGCCCAGTGTTAATGCAGGGTCTGCTGGCATTACTGGAATACCCTTYGGAAAAATAAATAAATAAATAAAAGAATTGTGATCTCTTTAAGAGAAGTGCGGTAATTTTTTTTGTTTTATTTTCTACTCATAAAAAAATGAAACTGAGGTGTAAGWTTCAAATTCATTCTTAAATTACACCACAGAAGTGAATGGTGCTGATGAGAGAGTTACTGAGAGCCAATGGATGGGAGATATTTTGTTTTCTGGTCTTTTTGGGTGTGTGTTGGGGGTTAGATTGTAATGAAGGATTCCCAGTATCTGGAAACCTTCCATCCCAGTATCTGGAAACCTTGAGATCTGTGCCCCTCTTGAGTGACAATAGTGTTTTTAATGACTATTATACCCTTTGTGCTTGGAACCCGTCAGTTCCCTTGAGTCTTCCATAGAAGGCCAATCTGTTTACCAAGAGTGAATAACTCAGAGTTGTAATTCCCCAGGATTGATGAGTAACCGAAATAGCATGAACATTGCACTGCACATCTCTAAACACATACCCAGTCCGGGAATTCACACTGATTTCAGAAAACCAGCAAGTAAATTACAGTTAACCTCTTCAGTGTGTGTTCTTTGCATAGGCTGTAGGTGGATTTCCTTGGGTGCGTAAGTACGTGCTGTTTCATAGTTCTTCATATCAGAAGGAATTTAAAGCTATTTTAAATGTGTGGTTTTGTTCAGTTATTAATTTTTATGATTTAAATCTTCAAGTCATATAATAAATTATCCTCGATTRAATTATGGACTTGTTGAATTTGGCCTTGTAGCCGTATGTTCACAATGGCTGTCTAAATTGAATCATCTACTTAAGGTTTTGAACGGTAATGTGACCTCGGCCTGATCCCTGACTTGGGCCTTGGGAGAGGGTGGGTTTTGTAGCCACCTTCCATCACAGAGGAGAAAGATGAGGGGAGTAAATCCCCAAGGAGCTGCTGCCGGAGGGGAAATTGCCCCCTCACTGCCAGTGATGAAGGGAGCCCAAGGAGAGCAGCTTCTCCGTAGTGCAGCTAGTCTGTGACTTGGTTCTCAGGGTTTATATAACGTGATGCAGTTAGGTAAGCCTTTCCCTGGGCAGTTATGCAATGCCAACAGCTTGGGAAAGCAGGAGCTCCTCGCAGAGCTCGTGTGCAGCCGAAGGGAGCGAGGAGAGGCTGCAAGGGAAGGGAACGGGCCCTGCCCGGGCGTGAGGTTAGCGATGCCAAAGCTCACCTTGCCGTGGAGCTGGCAAGGGCAACTCAGAGCAGTCCTGAAAGCTTCAGGTTTTTTCTTTACCAGCAGGTAGAGGGGATACCAGTAATCTTTGAGGCCACCAACTGAAAGAGAGTAAAGAGTGTTGCTCATCCTCACTGCATTTCATACGCCATCATTTCCATGCCTTGGAGGGCAGAGAACACCCTTTCCATGTGCTCTGCAAGGAGTTTGGTAGTAGAAATACGCTAATTAATAAAGGAAAATATAAAGAGGGAGAAGTACCCCAAGCACTTAGGAGAAAAGTCAAAATTCAGGGCCTATTTGCAGCTTTTCAACTGAACRTTATCTGTGCAGTTTGACAGTGCACTGGATTAATAAGCAGTAATTCATGTGCTGTGCATCACAGTGTGTTCCTCAGTGGATATACAGGAGGTAAAGGCTTGCCCCCCGGCTAATCTTCCCTCTCTTCGTTGCTTGAACAGATTGAACAGAATCATTTTCCTGCCGTGTGCCAATGTCATTTGCAGTCATTTCACCATTTACACCTTATGTGCATTTGCATGTATTATTACATATTAATTAATGCAYATATCGTTATTAATTATGTACATTTGCACATATTTGCACCTTATGTCATTTGCACCCTGAAGTGTGCATATTTCTCATGCAGTTTTTAATTTTGATTCATTTGGGGATTAGATCCACTCTGAACCAAGTAACATCCCTTGCTACCTCTGCAAGTTGTCAGGGGCTGATTAGCTTGACTCCTCCTCGCTCACCCTGCTTGGGTTCCTAATGAAGTTGCATGTGCTCAATATTCTTAGGAAGAGAATAGAATAACTGTGAAGATACTATGTCAACAACAATATATAATACAACAAGAGAACCCCTCGCAGGAAGATTTGGCACTGTAGATTCTTTAATGCCAAAATATCCCCCTTAGCTGCCAATAAACAGCTAGAGGTCTATCCTGAATATCTTTCAGGATGATGACAACACAGGTGTTGCTGGATGGACTGAACTGCCATTGCAAATACTTATGTGTATGTGCTTTAAAACTTGCTGTACTAAACAAGGAAAAAAGCCCCCCCAAAATTAAGCCTTTCATTTAAGCCTCATTAAGAAGTGAGACTTCTAGGACTTAGAGAAAGTCTTAATAATTTAGTAAGAAGTGCACTAAAAGTTGAGTTGCTGTTTTCAAGAATTTATGGACATAAAATTTATATTTCCTCAGCCTACTACATGCAGTTAAGAAGCATATGATGTGGGAAATTATGTGTATTGCCTAGCAGTTTTGTATTCATAGCTCAAGCAGATTTATTTTAAGTGCTAACATTTTTGTAACCTTTTGGAGTGGAGTCTGACATTCTGAATTAAGTCTGTAGCATAAATAAGTTAAAGCTGAGAACTGCCAGTTTACATACTCTGCACTAATTAAACCATTTAAAATTGCTCAGTAAGTGGAAATATTCATTAGTCAACATTAATGTCCTTCTCCCAGGATTTGCTGTAGGGAGGCTGAGCAAGTGAGAAGGAAAACGGAACAGAGAGCAATTGTAGCTTGAAAAATGGAAGTAAAACGGAGACTTTTCCTGTCCTCTGGCTGAGGAATGTGGAAGAGATGTGTAAATGCTTCTGATATCTCTCTGTGGATGCAAATAAAACTTGGAAATTATTTAAATAAACTGTAATATCAAGGTTTGGTTGTGAATTCTTTTGGCTTTTCATTGATTTTATTTTTATTTTTCTTAGGTGGCAGCTAGTTTCTTATTTTTTTGATACTTTTTTTTTTAATTATTATTATTATGTTCACCACCACAGTAACAACCCCCTGCTTTTTAGGTAAAACCTTTCGTTGCTTTTATCCATTCTGTGGTTTTTGTTTGTTTGTTTTGTTTTTTTTTACATTTACATTGCCAAATTTTGATGGCACAGACTCTGCCTTCAGCAGAACTGTTGGTGACTGTTTGCAAAGCACAATGCAGCACACACAGTTGTGTTCGTACAAAGCAAAGAATCAACCTCTGTCAATGAGTGTTCACTGATCTCAATAGGCTTTTCAGAAGCTCTGCATATTACAATGCTTAGCACCTAGAATACATACATATTCATAACAGCGGTACAGTTCGGCCCGTGCTCGTGACTTGATGCTCTCCACCCCTTCTTCTACCATGCATTAAGTAAAATTATTTCAACTCTCGTGTCCAAGAAGATGTCAGCTCTCTTCTCAAAACTGTCGTCTCTAAATCTCTCAACTCCTTCCRTCTTGTAAGAGAAAAATTAAAACCTGGAAATGCTGAAAGCTTTTGGGAATCTTTCGTGATGACCCTTGTGGCTGTGGAGACAGTGAGGTGCTGGACGTGTGTGGTGTGCAGTCGTTTGTATGAACAATTAGTGGAAGAGATAATTGGTATGTAGTGGCGCTGTCTTTTAAAAATATGAATACTTGCTGCTTTATTTGAGTATGTGGGGATTTGTCAGCATGGATGCTAGAATCCTRTTTTAGATTTATTATTTACTTGGGGTTTGCTTTCTTTTTTGTAACTTGGCTTTATTATTTGAACACTTTGGAAGTGCACAGTTTCTGGAAGTCTGTGCCTGTTTTATCATAGGAAATATTTCTTATCTGTCTCTTGAGTTTAGACTTAAGTGATATAACAAGTGTTCTTCATATGCACATATGCAAACACCCTGTCTCCTTGAAAATMATAATACAAGAAATTGGTAAGTAATTCTAGTTTCATTCAGGCCCTGTAAAATCTGTAATCAGGTGCCTAAACCTTTGCCTTTGTTCAATTAACAGCCTTATGAAATGAGACAGCTTCTCATTTTTTACAAAAGAAGTATCTTTAACACTGAATTAATTGGGCCCTTGCTGTTTATTTGAGAGACTTGATGTTTAGGATAATTAATCTGATATCCCAATAAAGAAAAATGCAGACCGCTATTTAATTGGAGCGTTAACCCCTTTAAGCTGCTAACACGTTGCATGCTGCCCTTGCAGACGAGCCCACCAGCCCCAGCATCGACCACGATATCGCCCACATTCCGGCTTCCGCGGTTATTTCGGCATCGGCATCGGCCTCGCCRGGACCTGTGGTGACAACCGTCCCTCCCAGCCCCGCGTCCCCAGTCCCTTTACTTCGCCGGCAGCTTTCACACGACCACGGTGAGCACTGCTTGCATTTTCTCTTCATGCAACAGCTTCTTTTCCTCTTCCAAAAAAGAGCGTGCCTTCTGTGGAGAACGGGTTTGAAAAATCTGATCTTTTTATAGCTTAAAATACCTTGCAGAAATGTCGTTCGGATTAATATCTATTTGATGGTTTTGATCTGTTTGTAGAATCCATAAGGCCTAGTGTCCTGGATAGCCAGCCTGCCATAAAAACTGAGAGATCAAAGTCATACGATGAAGGGTTGGATGACTATAGAGAAGAGGGAAAAGTGTAAGTTCAGAAAAAAAAAAAACTATTAATTTGCAGATATTTTTGAAAGTCTTGACAGGTTATTTTAACATCTATTTCTTTTTTGTCTCAACAGATCCATTAAGCATGTATCTAGCTTGAAAGGGATCAAGGTAGGTAAACATATGTAACAATTTTTAAGAATTTTGGCTGTTACTGTGGCAAGTTGTATGATTTCTAAGTGTAGTGTTAAACACAAAAAGGGACTTCATTGTTCTACCCACTGGGTATTTTTTTTGTAAATAATTTTCTGAGATTTTGACTTGTTTAGTTTTGGTTTGTGGGTTTTTTTGTTTTATTTTTCTTTAGCTGGTGCATATGGTCCTTAATTTTCATTTGCTTCRGCCCTGTATACAAAGCATATTTATGATGTACTTCTGTAAGACAAGAATTTAGTAACAAGAGTCTARAATTCCTGCAGTGTCCTAAAATTTTATTGGAATGTGTAAAGTCACAGTTGCACATTTTACTTTGTGATAACTTTAGAAATCAGATTTTCCAAAGAGGTTCTGTGAGGGGATTTTCACTGAATGGGGTGGTAGTTTTTAAAATGAAAAGTTAAACATTCGGAACACAAGATCACAGAGAAATGTGCTTAGAGATATGCTGGGGGGTAACTCTTTTGTTTTGTTTTAAAATAAGGTCCCAGACAGTCAAAAATCATCAGAAGACTCTGGTTCCCGGAAAGATTCTTCTTCGGAGGTCTTTGGTGATGCTTCCAAGGAAGGATGGCTCCATTATCGTCAGCTTATCAGAGGAAAGGTACCTGTTTCTTAACATCCTCTCAGGATAAATACTAGACTGGAGGAAAATTAAGAATAAGATACTCGAAAGTATAGGCAATAAATTTTACTTTAAACAAAAAATTGGGGATGCGARCTCCAGTAAGACTGACAAAGTTTGAGAATTACTTGCTAGAAGACTGATTGGGCAAAAAATCCTCAGCCTCTTTCTTGGAGACTGTTTTCTGAACTGCTTTAATTTTGCATTTCAAAATATCCTTGAAGTAAAGTTATTTCTAAGGACTCATTAAGTAGAAAGAATCAATCCCTCGATAACCATAGTCTTTTTTTTTTTTTTTTTTTCTCTTCACCCTTTGCCAATAGTTAGAAGAGCACTGATAGTAATGAATGTTACAGAGTTGCTGAGTTCAGGTTGGCCCTTCTGCATATTCACAGACTAAAACGTAAGGAAAATCAAGGTCTGGAATTGCAGTGTTGTGTGGGTGTTTCCCTGAGGCAAATCAAATTGAAAAAGCCTCGGACAAGAGGGACAAGAGCCCACTCCTTTACTTATTTGTTATGTTTATCCCAATCCCTCTGTGAAATTCTCTAGTTATTTCCATTCTCTGTTTCTCCCCACTGCCCTGTGTCCTCACACACCTACTGCGTGTTCAGGGTGGGCAGGCTGTGGAGCAATTCCCTCCTTTAACAGAGCTGTTAGTGAATCCTACTTTTGGATAGTCTTTCCCAGAGTTTTTATTAAGAACAGTTAAGAAAGATGGTTTGTCTTCCTGTTGTAAAAGTTTTGAAGATTTTTTTAAACTGAGGAACAATAATAAATAACTAATCTTGTAAATTGGTTTGTAATTTTTCAGCGAGTGAGTGGAAGCATTCGGCCATGGAAACAATTGTATGTTGTTCTTCGGGGCCATTCGCTTTATTTGTACAAGGATAAAAAGGAACAAATGACCCCATCTGAAGAAGAACAACCTATCAGCATCAACGCTTGTTTGATAGACATCTCGTACTCTGACACCAAGAGGAAAAATGTATTCAGGCTCACCACGTCAGACTGCAAGTATCTGTTTCAAGCYGAGGACAGAGACGATATGTTAGCGTGGATTAAAGCAATACAAGACAACAGCAACTTAAAYGATGAGGTAATTGTATAATGTATAGCGCAGGAAACATTGTTACTGTCTTTTAATTAAAATCTGATTGTGTTTTCTTTTAATTAATATTTCATCAAAAGAAAATTTTATTAAACAATAGACCAAAGTGTGTGCAGGAATATGAGGTGAAATATGCAGAAAAGAAGGTAAAAGGCACGGTAACTGAATAGAGTTCAAAAAAGCCTGGCATCTCAATAATCAGATAACATTTTTAAAATAAGTGAAGGTTGTTGCTGACTTGTCTGCAGCTACACTTGACACTAAATTGTTTTGTTAAAAATACCTAGGTTTTATTTAAAAGGCACTTTGCCTTAGAAGTGTGGGTTTTTTTTCTCTTCAGACCAAGCACACAGTGGCACAGTGTGATTCTTGGTTGCTAAAAATAAAACTCAGGAGGATTAGTTTGATTGTAGTGAATGTCCAGTTATATGAATTAAATATGAAAGGTAATTATAGGAAGGAAACATTATTGTGTCTAACGTGTCCATACTTGTCCACTTAAGTCTCTGTGTATCTTCAGAGGATTCATATTTCAGAGATGAGTAACAGAAGAATATTTTCATGTCTGTGGTCATGCACAACTGCTCAGTTTTGAAATAATCAGTTAAAGGAAAGTGGATTGATAAATATTTTTAGACAGCTGATTAAAAACAAAGTTGAATTAAAAGCTGTTTCAGGTCTATGTATAAAGCTAATAGTTATATCAATACCATGTGAACATAAGATTACATTTTCCAGAGTAATATTTTTTTGGCTTGCATATTTTCTATTTAAACTTACTTCTGTGTAATAGAGCAGGGRGGTTGGACTAGATGATCTCTAGAGGTCCCTTCCAACCTTAACCATTCTGTAATTCTGGCTGACCATTAGATTTTAGTTGTACTGAAACGTTAATTTTTGATATGCTGACTTGTCAATGGGAAGAGTTAACTGGTGGTTAAGTAGTTCTCTATTCATTTTGTAGGATACTGGTGTCACTAGCAGAGATCTAATTAGTCGAAGGATTAAAGAATACAGTACAATGATGAGGTAGGTAAATCATTTGSTGGCAGCAGTTTTTGTACACTTGTTACGTAGCTTCCTCTTACTGAAGTAATATTTCATTTCAGCTCTTCAAGCAGCAAAACAGAGCCCTCTCCCAAAACACCTCGTCAGAGCCTAAGCATCAGGCAGACTCTGCTTGGAGCAAAAACAGAGCCGAGGACCCAGAGTCCACATTCTCCCAAGGATGAATCTGAAAGGAAGATTCTCACTAAAGGTCTGTTTGCTGTGTGTGCATTTCTAGAGTCCCTTATGGCCCCATATAAGGCCACTGAGGTGCCTTTTCTGGCTTCTCTAAGCTCATATACCTCATTCAAAGAAATTTATTTCTTTAAGCTGCAGCTGTAACCACTCACTTTATTTACCTTCACTTAGTTGTTACCTTCAACATACTTCAGGTCTTCTCAGATCTCTAAAGTTCTTTTGATTCTAGTAATCTTTCAGGAAGGTTTGGCCCTTTTTTTTTGAGATTCATGTGGTGTTTAACAGTAGCAAAGTACTTGTGTTAAGCGTCTCATGACCAGGRTTTTGACAAGTTTTGAAGTACTTTTATGGTATTATCCATGGTATGGATAATGAAATGGATATCCATGGTATGGATATTGAAATACTTTTATGGTATTATTCAGCTGACTTGGAATTAAATAGGTAAAATCTTTTAAATTTACTGTTAAGAAAAGAAAGTTTTCTGATGAAACTTAYTATACCTTGAGAAGAAGAAGGGTTTGATCGTTGTGTTTAAAGGCAGGAATGAGTTTTTCCAGCTCACAATTAGTGCCTGCTGAGTTCTAAAGTACATAAACCTTTAAGTCTGATGAGCCAGGACCATAAACTTTAATCAGTAACTGTTCTCCATCACATAGTCACAAGCTGCTTTTTTTTTTTTTTTTTTTTTCCAAATAATGTGTAAATTTTTGCTGCACATGATCAGACTGCTCATAAAGGAACCAACTCAGACAACTGGCTGAACAGCCACTTTTCAAAAATTCAGTCTTGAATTTAAACTGTGCGTAAATTCTGCTTTATGTTACTAACATTGCTTTGCTCCTGCTGTGCTGCAGATTACTGTGCAACTAAATTGTAGTGTTGATTTAAAGGATGCTAAGTAGGTTTCAAATGCACTGAAAGAACATTTCCAGAAATATTTTGAATAAGAAGGCAGTACTGTGTTAGATTTATAATGAATGAGCACTATAATTTGTCATATGAATTGTATAGTGGAGCAGCTGAACGTTTATCTGTTTCGGTGTAAATAATTTTGAAATGTCTGAGTTGTATTTGGGATAATTTAGGAATGACTTAAATCTGTTAATTATTGCAAGGCTGATTAGTTCTCCTTAATGTAATGTTGTGCTGTGGCTGCGTTATTTCATTGCTGTTCTGTGTGGCAGAATGTAATTCAGTGGAGGCTTTATCTTGCTTTTTTAAAAGCTGTTAGTTTCCTTTTTTTTTATTATTTTTTTTAGTACAATATATATGCCTTTAGTCTTCAAACCATGAAGTTCTTCATGCCAGTTACTTACATACTTCTCCAGCTCTGTGGTTTGGATATGTCCAAACATACTTTTGGATTACATAAGAGGGAAAAAAAAATAYTTCAGATGGTAGACAAATGGTTAGTGAGTTATTGTGAGAAGCTGGGCCAATAAAAGAGGTAAAAATGCAATAGGTTATTTTATCTTCTTAACTCTATTCCCAATAGTTTGCACGAAATGCTCTTTTATTTCTTTCTTATTCCCTCGCCTGCTTTATACTTGCATCGAAAAGATGAGACGAGCCCACCAAAAGACAAGGGGACATGGAAAAAAGGCATCCCGAGCATCGTGAGGAAGACGTTTGAAAAGAAGCCATCTGCTATGGGAACATTCGGAGTTAGGCTTGATGACTGTCCCCCAGCTCAAACCAATAAAGTAGGAAAAGATMATTTTTCTTTCCATGATGATTTTTAAATACGTTTTTGCATGAATTACTTAAATACATATATAATTTTTTTGTTTTCCTCAGTGTATTCCCCTGATTGTTGACATATGTTGCAAACTGGTTGAAGAGAGGGGACTTGAGTACACMGGTATTTACAGAGTTCCTGGAAATAATGCTGCCATCTCAAGCATGCAGGAAGAGCTCAACAAAGGAATGACTGACATTGATGTACATGATGATGTAAGTCTTTGGTCACAGCGTTTCCATTTGGAGCTCCCCAAGCCTCCTGGTTGTGTTGTGATTATAGAAATATAAAGCATGTCTTTCCCTTTCTTCTAAATGTGTAGAAATGGCGAGACTTGAATGTAATAAGCAGTTTGCTGAAATCCTTCTTCAGAAAGCTCCCAGAACCTCTTTTTACCAATGGTAAGTTRTTTCCACTATCGTTTTGCCTTTAGGAGTTGTTGTATCTGTAAGATGACTCAACAGAGCGTCCAGTGAAATCGTCAGAACCATATGACAAATGTCCTCTTTTTTTCTTAAAGAACAGGGAGTCGTCGTCATTATAGACTTACGGAACTTGAAAGTAGACTGGTGAATTTTCCTGACTGTGAAGGAATTACGAAACAGTTCTCTTGCTTTATTATTATCATTATTGTTATTGTTATGTATCTTACATTGTTTCTAGAGGAATTAAAAAAAAAAAAAAAGGTTGGGGTGGTAACTTTGATTCGAAGCAATCGGATTTATATAGAATGTATTCATGTAGGAGTATCAGCAGACAAGTGAGCAAACTCAGAATTTGACTTGTGGGAGTACAGTTTCTTAAAGCATGTTTTCTTTATAGCATTACTTTTCATATTTACAGTTGGGTAGCTAGTTACATCTATTTTGTTCAGTGAGCAAATGATAATACCAGCTTTTGGAGTTGGAATAGAATGGATTTTTTTTTGCTATTTACAACAGAATTGTTTTTGTGATTTTTTTTTTTTTAATATTGTAATATTATATGAAAGCTGGGTTTTTTTTCTACTTCCATCTTACTAAATTGTATGCAGGTAGACTTTTACAGGTCGTATGTACATATTAATTTAACATTACTGTTTTAACAGACAAATATGCAGATTTCATAGATGCTAATCGAAAGGAAGATCCTGTTGAACGTCTGAAAACACTGAAGAGACTGGTAAGCTGACATGAGATGTGTTGCAGGTGCATCACAAAATTAGCATTAAATGTTCAGTATTCCAAATAGTTTTTGTTTATTTCAGATTCACGATTTACCAGAACATCACTATGAGACTCTCAAGTTTCTTTCTGCACACCTGAAGACAGTAGCAGAGAATTCAGAAAAGAACAAGGTATCAAAGACAAACCTGTAATGTATTTTGTCTTTCTTCATTTATTAGAACCATTTTTAACACAGCATTATTTCTAGTGAGTAGGCCCACATTGTATTGTTGTACGTAAAATTAAGGTCTTTGCTATGGAGAGAAGATCTTTGGATTGCACTAAAGACTCTTTCAAAATATATACAGGCTCAGTGTGAATAAAGTTGGAGTTTAGAGTAGTACTGCTTCTTCTGGGAATAACTGCTTATGTCCTATGTTTGTCCTAAGCCTGTAAACTTGGTATAATCCAACTGGAAACCAGTATGAGTGTGCTTGGGCAGGCATTTAAAATAGTTGAAGCAACACTTTTTGATTAATATACTGCAAATTTTCTGTGTGAAGCCTAGAGGAATGGTATGTGTGTTGTCTATTAATAGTTGGCTTTGAAGATAAAAGAAGTATGTGGCTGGTAATACCCTTGTAAAAATGTAATTAGTTCTTTACTGTGCAGACATCTGTAAAATACATTTTCAGTTCTTACTTTTACTGGGTTCTTAGGACCTTTCAGAGTGAACGGTTTGGGTAAAACTTGGGCAACTTTCTGAATCTTTTACCAAGGATACCAAAGGCTAAGTCAGCTTTGTGGGGGGGGCCTGGGTTCCTGGACACTTCCGTGATTTTTTTTTTTTTTTTTTTTTAAGAAGACGTCAGCTGAAATTATCTAGTGGTTTGGGCTGATAAGTGCTCTTATCTTAAAGAGAGATAATAATGGTGTAGAGGGTAGTG